GAAGGGGCGACTATAGATTAAGGACAGACTATAGATTAAGAAAGATTTAAGAAAGATCATCCAAATACAGAGTGGACCTTGTCTAGATACAGCTCCTAACAATCCAACTGTTAAAAAAAAAAGCACTTATAGGATATAATCAGGGAAATCTGAACACTGACTGGATATTTAATACTAAGGAAATATTGTTAGTTTTATTTTAGGTATCACAATGATTTATGGTTATGTTATATTTTTCAAGACTCCTTGTATTTTAGAAGGAACTGTACTGGTGCAGTGGTTAAAGTGCTCAGCTGCTAACCAAAGGGTCGAACACACCAGCCACTCTGTGGAAGAAAGACGGGGCAATCTGCTTCCGTAAAGATTTACAGCCTTGGAAACCTACTCTGTCCTATGGGGTCTCTACGAATCAGAATCAACTCAACGGTAGTGGGTTTGGTTGGGTTTTTTATATTTTAGAGACACATACTGAAGTAATTTCCAAATGAAATGCTATGATTTTGGGGATTTGCTTCTAAATAATCCAACCGAGGAGAAGAAAAGAAACTGAGGAAAGAAAAATGGTCAGGAGTTGATGATTGTTGATGCTGGGTATCAGTTTGTGAGGTTCCATAAACCATTTTCTCTACTTTTGTGTCTATTTGAAAACTTCTTTAATAAGAAGTATTTAACAAAATGAACTGGCTTATCTGTCCAAATTCAGCATAGCCAGGTAAGCAGCTTGCCAGGCACATGAACCCAGGTCTCACCTTTCTATATTCACCTCATTGCCTCTGTCTCTAGTGTGGGAAATCATTGTATATTTGCCTACTTCGGGTCCCGGCCGGAATATTTTCATTCTATGGAGCTCAACCCTAGAAAAAGAAGAGGAGTTTAAAAAAAAAAAATTAAGTACTACTGGACACTTAAAAACACTCACTCACAAAAACTTACACATTCACAATGGATACACACATACCTGGATCATTTGGATATTTAAAAAAGAAAAAAAACTAAAATTACAGATTTTCCTCTAATGGTAGGACCTCAGGCAATAAACCCATCAAAGAATCACATTTAACATTTACTACTGGTAAATATAAAAAACGCAAAGCTGCTGCAAATGACCTCTTTAAAGTGTTAAAAAGCAAAGCTGTCACTTTTAGGATTCAGGTGTGCCTGACCCAAGCCATGGTATATTCAATATTCTTCACTGTCAGAAGAACGAACAAATCGGTCTTGGAGGAAGTATAGCCAGAATACTCCTTAGAAGCAAGGATGGCGAGACTTCATCTCACGTACTTTGGACGTGCTATCGGGAGGGACCAGTCCCTGGAGAAGGACATCATGCTTGGTAAAGTAAAGGGTCAGCAAAAAAAAAAAAAAGGGAGACCCTCAATGAGAAAGATTGACACAGTGGCTGCAACAATGGGCTCAAACACAACAATGATTGTGAGGATGGCACAGGACCAGGCAGTGTTTCATTCTGTTGTACAGAGCGTTGCTATGAGTCAGAACCAACCCAACAGTACCTAACAACTGGGGTACAAAGGAGATGTGTCAATTTATAGTTCATCGTTTTGCAAAAACGCTCAGAGTACTTATGTTAAAACATCCTGAGGAGTAGAAGAGTCGAATCTCTTAGGATTCCTGATTTACTTAGTGTTGCCTTCTTCTAACAAAGAAAGAAATGACCATTTAAGAACCATAAACCTAGATGCAAATCTAGGCTATTATTCACAACTGGGTAAGTCCGTTCACTACTCCAGGTCTCAGTTTCCTCATCTGTAAAATGACAATGATGATATGGTGTCAGTTTGAAAGGCTCAAACGAGATAATTCACATGGAACATGCTTTGCAAAACTGCATGCATTATGTAAATGCAGAGAAGGGCGGGGCCTGCTGCCCAGGTGATAAATACTCAGTAAGTAAATACCAACCAACTTTTACGCTCAGATTGTTTTGGTTTATTCATGGCATTAGTTAAGAACCATTCTGGGGGCCATGGTATTCCTATCAAATGAAAGCAAATCTTGGGGCTACCCCTGTACCCTGAAGCTGAGGGGCAGCAGGAAAAAAAGACAGTGAAGAGGCACGATCAGTGCAGTGTTCTACTGATGATCCTGGCTAGGCAGTGAAATGGATTTTGGAAATTAGACAGGTACTGTTTACCTCCAGCCCTGGCTACTCCTGCCCTGAAGTCCGACAGGTGCCACTGGTCCAGCTCATAAGCCATGGCCACATAGAGACTACTGTTAGGCTGGGCCAAAGCCCCCTGCCCATCACTATGGCGAATCCACGGAGCCCTTGGTCAGGGCAATCCATTCCCTCTTGCCAAAAACACTGCAGAGACTCTCAGCCTAGACATGGGGACAAGATTAGCCCTGGCTTCTTCACACTGAAGCAGCAGAAATTTCTGACAGTCACACACCTGTTAGTTTAGAGCCACAGCAGGAAGGAAGGGGGTCCTCTAATAGCCAGAAAGATCCTGTGATGATAAGTCTGAAGATGCAGGCCCCAGGCTCTTGAGTAATTACTTATTTCTGGGGGGTAGGGACATCCATAACTGTCTGGCCACAAAACTCAAGCTCAGGGGAGTGAGCCGAGGAAGGGGGTCAGACTGATTTTCTTTGAGCCCCCCAGAGCAGAAAGTAGTCCAAGGGCGGCTGAGGGTAACACCAGCAGCCCCACGCTGGCCCGGGAGCCAGGCCAGCAGCTGCTCCCACAACATGCAGAGCTGGTGCAAGCCTAAGAAAGTACAGTCAGCTGTCCCTAGTTCAGCGTGTACAGCTGCTCTGAGGCTGCTGGCACCCCTGCTCTGGACATCGAGTCCGTGCCGGGATCCCCTGGGGCCTGAGGGAAAGCCTAAGGCTTACCATAGGTCCTTCCAGCTACTGCCCCCAAAATGCAGCTTTCCAGATACTGTGCAGTTTGGTGCTTTTAATTCACTAGTGAAACCTTGACTAGTAACACCCACTGACAAGTCCCCAGAGGCCTCCATCAACACCTGTAGACCCCAAACACCCACAAGACAGGAACAGAGCACTCTCCATCATTTCTAAACTACCACTGGCAAAAGCAATCTGGGCCCTGCTGACCCCCGTCCACCCCTTGCCAGCCTCTAATCCTTGCAAATCTGCAGCCTTGTAACCTGCTGAACCGGCATCTACAGTAACTATACAAAAATGGAAGTTTCCAGAGCCACCACGATAGCAGAGCCCGTGAAGGGGACCTTTCTATGTTGTTCACCTGAGTCTGAGGTCATCGTCTTCGCCTCCCCATCCCCAGTAGTTGTTAGAGAATCCATTCACCTTGAAAAACTGCTCTCTGGTTAGGGCAGTAACACCCCCAAAATATCCTTTGTAACGTAACCTGCAGCCAAGAGAGGTAAGAAAAGGTGAGAACATTAGTAGAAGCCTTTTGTTCTTCACAGGTACTTCAGAGGTGTCTGATTTCACTACCATCATTCCAGGAGCGCTCTGAAAACCATGCACGTTCACCCATCACCTCCTGCTGGACGTTCACTTCCCAGCGTTCCTGGCCTTCCCTGTCTTGCCTTCGTTCCTTTGTCTAGTCAGTCGTCTGCTCTCCTCTGCTCACTAAGCAAGGTGCCACCCATGTGTTATTGTTATATTTATATCTGGAGGTCTGGAGAGATTCCTGTAAATGTGCACCACAACATTAGATCTGAATAACAGATTTCATCTCATGGGCCAATCCAATCCATTGGCAATGGTTGCCAAGGACACTGAGTTAAGAAGGATTCTGAGGCTGAGCCAAGTTCAGCATGAATGAGTATCATGATTAATATATTTTTCCTTCCTTTTCCTTTTTCTTTATTTGGGGGAAAAAGAGATAGTTCTCATCCATTTCCTGAAGAACCCAACACTTCTCAACAACCCTGAGGTTTCCAGCTTAGGCAAATGGCTAGTTGACAGAGCCTTATTGGAGCCCTGGTGGCGCAGTGGTTAACAGCTTGGCTGCTAACCAAAAGAAAGGTCAGCAGTTCGAATCCACCAGCCACTCCTTGGAAACCATATGGGGCAGTTCTGCTCTGTCCCTAGGGTCGCTATAAGTCGAAATCAACTCGACAGCAATGGGTTTGGCTTTGGTTTTTCATGAAAATAGTGTGTACAGAATACCAAACAGGTTTTGAGAAAAAGCCACTCAGTTATGTCTTAGGTAAATTGATTTCGAGGATCTCCTGGAGCTTTTCCCATGAGGCAAAAGGATGCAGGGTCTAAGACCAAGAGACAGGTGGCCAGAGTCATGCATTTGAGAATCAGCTGTCAAGAGGTGGTGCTTGAAGCCCCAGCAGTAGGAGAACTCACCCAAAGACAAAGCTCTGGGTGAGAGAGGAGAGAACAAAGGACAGAATCTTGGGAAGTATCAACAAGTGAAAGGGGAGTGAGAGAAATAACCCACAAAGGAGATCAAGAAGTAACAGTCAGAGAGCAGATTGTTATGAAGTATTAACAGACAAACTACCAAATCTGAGGAACACTTCAACATAACACTGTAACAATTCAGAAATGCAAATGAAGGTGGTTTATAACTTGGATGTTACTGAGTAAAAAGATGTGAATATCTGGAGGATTTCTAACTTTAATTAACTTCAGTTAAAAGTGTTCCACTGCAGGCCACCTTCTAGCCAAATAATAAGTTGGATTATAAAATAAACAATATCACCTGTGAGTAAAGTACTCCCTTAAACAATTAACTATATGGGACAAAATGGTCAACATTTACCCAAAAGGAAAGATGAAAAGGCAAGGAGGGGAAGGGAAGTTAAGTCAATGGAAACAGAGTAAACAGAATGGAAATAATGAGAATGCTGACACATTGTAAAATCATAACTAATGGCACCGAAAATTTTGTATATAAATTTGTTAAATGGAAACCTAATTTGCTGTGTAAACTTTCACCTAAAACACACACACAAACACAGTGTTCAAGAGTCAATAAAATATTTTTGCTTTTCCAGATAAGAAAAAGCAAAGGCAAAGATCAATAAACACACAGACACTTGCCATCTAACAGATGGCGTCCCAAAAGCTAATTTGTAGTTCAGCTATTTGTTTCTGTGTTCTGAATACAGACCAGGAGACCCTGTTCAACCCATAATAGGAAAAGACTTACCTATATACCCCCAACCTAAATTGTGGGAATGATATTATCATAAGCTAAAACAAGCCAAAGTATACATAAAGTGCTCAGGTAGCTGCTTTCACATTTCTAAAGCAAACTTTGAGTAGAACCACCACCCAGACATAACCTGGGAGACAGTGCAACACCAACAAGGGACTGTCATGAGAACCAGCATGGACAATTTGGTAGCCATCTATTACTAACTAGTACATGGGTCTTATAGGGTGGCTTTGAGTTGGAATCCACTCCACGACAACAGGTTTGGGTTTTTTAGTTTTATCCACCAAGTGCAGCCCCTGAGTGGTACAAATGGTTAACATGCTCAGCTGCCAACTGAAAAGTTGGAGGTTGACTCCATCCAGAGATGCCTCAGAAGTTCTACTTCTGAAAAATCAGTCACTGAGAACCCGATGGAGCACAGTTCTACTCTGACACACGTGGGGTCTCCATGAGTCAGAATCAACTGGATGGCAACTGGTGATGGTGGTGGTGGTGCTAGCCATCAAGTGCAAGACAGCTGGTCAAACACAGCCCCGCTTTCAAAGAGCTTACAATCTAAGCAAAGAGAAGAGTGTTATCAGGGTTCAGAGGATGAACATGTGGCCACATCAGGAGACGGCAGGCCTGGGAGGATTCAAAGAGGTAGGAAAATGGGGGAGATCCTGGTGGCCTGACTCCATGTGGGCAAGCATGGGAAAGAGACAGGTGCAGGTTGTCTGAGGAGATCTGGGGACCCATTGAGCCAGAATGGGGAGCAGTAGGAGACAAGCTGGAAAGAAAGGTTAAGGAACTGCCAGTTTCACAGGGTCTATTTCTTTTTAAAGGGCTATGAAGCCCAAGGGTGGGGCAGTGTGGTTATAAAATAACAGAAGAGTCCCTGTAGAAAGGAATCAGATACTGAAGGAATTCTTGGCAGCAAAATTTGCCACTGGCTGGTCCAGAGCTTTATCTCTGACCCAGGGATTACTTCTAACCCAGAAACAGATTTTTTCCTGCCTTCATCAGAGTCTGAGACACTTGGGTATATTTAACATCTTCCCTCTGCGTGCGTGTAAAGTGAAAATATTTCTTGCACTTCCCATCATACTCACAGGGCTATTGTGATAATGAACAAAGCCTAAAGCCTGTGTCTAGTTAAGCTTTGTGGCTTACGTGCAGGACATACTGTTACCAGCAGGGGCAGACACTCAGCTACCTGCAACTACAGTCACCAGGACTAGAGGGATTTCGCTCAAAGTAGCAAATGTGGGAAGTACAAGGGACGCCAGCTCTTATTTTACCTATACATACCTCTCCCTGGTCACAAAGATGGGGCAGATTAAATGATATATACAGTAAAGTAGAAAAATACGAATTATAAACCAGGACCAGAGAAAAACTTAAATTAGAATAGATTAAGATCAAAACTATATTAGAACTCTGATTTTCATATAAGATTCTTTCCAGTTTCTAAAAGAGGGCCTTGGACCTGATTCAGAACTTCTTGCATCTTTAGCAAAAGGGGAGACATTCAATTACCTGATTCACATTGTTCAGGAAAACTGCCATTTACACAAGGGTGACAAAGTCTCCTGATACTTAGCTATAAAAGAAACGTCTGGCCAGTTACAACAGCAGGATTCATACACGGGCTGTTTCCTAGAGTGAGCGTCCCTGATGAAAGCCGAGACTGTGACACCAAAATGTAACTCAAGGTCGAATCCAGGCAGGAATGCCCAAGAACTTGGCTTTCTAATGGTCCAGTTTAATACATGGATAAAATTCCAAGTTCGAGCCAAATGCCCGTCCTTAAAACAATCCTGTGATTATAATTTCTCATTGTCAACATTTAGAAAGAACTAGGCAACATGCAGTTTAGCGTTATCTATGGCAAGGATCTGAAGTACAGGTGAAGCACGTGGCAGACAGCGATAGCTTATTAATTTTAATTTTACACAATCAGTGAACAGATGGTAGCTTTGACATGCTTCTGAAAAATCCAAGGTGCCCGGCCCATGATATGCTACTTTCTTCAATGCAGAGATGCACTGAGGAGAACAGAAAAAGCCTCCTAGATAATGAGATTCAGATTTAAACATCAAGTTCCCCAAAGGGAAAAAAACCGATGGTTCTCTTCTGGATTCCCCCCCTGCCCTCTTCTCCACTGTCCCTACCCTGCTCAGGCACACAGCATGTCTCCCCTGTTTCTCCTCTCCTGCCTTGCTCTGTCCAATACATTAAACACTGGCTGAACGGAGCTTCCTCATGTCGTTCCCCAGCTGGAACCCTGTGTCAACAGATCCCCATTCCCTTCCAAAGGAAATCCAAACTCCTTAACAGACTGCATAATCTGGCCCCTGTCTAACCTCACCTCTTGCCTCTCCTACCTCCACAACCCCGTTCATCCCTGAGCGCTAACTGAGCAACTTGCATTTTCCCCAATAACGGTGCCATGTTTGCTCTTGCTTCCATGTCTTGGAACTCTGCTAACTAAGCTCCCAGAGATTAAGATGCCACCTTCCCTGGGGAATAGCCTTAAACCCTTCCCTACTTGTTCTCAAAGACACTGTGCTGTTGCTCAGCAGAGTGATTATTCTAGTTGTTTATATCCCACAGCTTACATAGGGACAAGTCTGTCTATGATGCAAAAATCACCTGCAGACAATGTGACCCTCTTAAATAGTCCAAACTGAGAGGCCTACACAATAATAGCAACATGGAAACCAAGACCAAGTGACCCATCGAGAGAGTCATAGCTTCCATCTCACACTGACCCCAGAGTACACATGAAGGCTGCTGAAATCGCCTGCATTATGTTATAATTATCTCACTTTCTCTCTCTTCCTCTCACTGCCAAGGGCTTGCAGTTGAATTTGCAGAAGTTAAATGCAAGAGTGATGCAAATCCACTGTAGCTACCTGCCTCACCACACTGTCACTCAGCCGGGAGCTGAAGGGCAGGCACTCTGCCTTATTCACACTGCTCTGTGGCCCCTAGCACGGTCAGCACCACAGATATGAGCACACGGGAAGGGCAGGGCTGCGGGGAGGCTGACAGGTAAGTGTACACACACATAGCGAATACAGGGTTTCATCAGTACAGAAATTTTCCTGGTCACTATTTTCCCTCAGTTGTGTTTGTATTAGAGCTGGTATAAAATAAGGCTAAAAACCAGCTGTGCCTCTTCTGAGGGGCAAGAAGGAGGGCGTAAAGACAGGGATGATGGTACCTGGCACTTCCCAGAGTGGCTCTGAGAAAAAGGGACTTGTCCTGGGGTTCCTCGCTCCTGAGCAGACTACTCAGTAGATAATGCTCCTCCCCACTCTTCCCAGAATTCTGGAAAGATTCCAGCAAAAAGTGACATCACAGTCTCACAAGGGAGGCCCAAAAGTCGACCCAAGGGGCACGATCCTGTTGCCTTCCCGAGTGGGAAGTCAACGACAGACACTAAGGTCCATGAGTTCTACTCGGTGGTGGAAGCCTGCAAAAGTTCCACCACGTGGGCGCTGCAGGGTGGCACTGTCCACCATTTACAATGCTTGAATTATTTTCCCTCTCCTGTTCTTTCCCTTTAGTCTCTGTGATCCTCCGCCAAATTCGTTGTGGGGTTTTTTCCTTGTTAGTTTCCCTAATACCTCTTTTGAACTTTATGTGATATATTAGGGGCCTTCTTCCCATTCTCGTTTTCCTAAGGTACTCAGGACACTACATTCCGCACACCCTTGATGACAACAGGGCAAGCTTCTCAACCTAAGCATCCCATTGTCAGAGCCCCCTTACCTGTACCCAGTGCTGTTCCTGCCAACCACCAGATGCTTTGGCTGATCCTCACACTTGTAAAGGTTAAAGTCATGCTCAGGCACCAGGTCCACATCGTGGAATATAAAGCAGTCCCAATTTTCTTCTTTGAGAGCTTCTAGATAGCCCACATTCATGAGCTTGGCTCGATTAAACTTTTTATTTCCAGCCTATAGATACAGAAATTGAAAATTGAAAACCTCTTGTGATAAAGTTTCATACTTCAAGCCTCTTCCGTTCTGAAGCAGGAGTTGGTTTTACTCTTGCTGACACATAAGACTGTATGTGTGACATAAAGATCTGACGCAGTATGCAATAACGATAAAACACTACTTGTTTTGTTCTTCTTTATATTCCACAACTAAAAAACATACCTTTATTCATTCCATGTAAAACTATAAAATCTTTCTTACACGCTAGTCACACATATTAGTATCTATTTCTTCACTGTTCAACTCTCAGCTGATCTAGTCTTATCCTATGTTATGAAATTTACACCAAACTTCCAGGAAAAGTAGCTAATGGCTTGCCAGAAAGGAGCAAGAAAACTTGACCTATAAAAACAGAAGCTTATTGCTAATATTTCTAAGCTACTTAAAAGTTTCTTGGAGCCACTGTAACAGAATCCTGTATAACAATAATGGTGCAGGCTAATCCTCACATTGTCTTCACAGCAGTTTTTTCAACTGGGTTTAAAAAAAAAAAGAACATGATTTGACCGGTCATATGACCAAAACTATAGTAAGAAAAACATTTTACAGTATTTTTTAATGACTGCTTGGATTAAATTTCATAGGAATAAATTCCAGTTCACTAAACAGTTTATCATAACAAAAGTAAGGTGGTTCTCAGAAGTTGCCACACTGTTTTCCTGAAAAGAGTAACACAAAGCAGACATATTTTTCCATTCGTAAAAATATTATCTTGAGAGTTGTTACTCTGAGTGAGAACTCCCAATTAAATAAATCGTAGCTATGACCAACCACGTAGAAAACAGAAATAATTATAAACAAATATAACAGTAAAAACTTGGTTTCAAGTCCTGAAAAATGGGACTACATATATCCTATGTCCATTGATTTTCAAAAGCTTAGTTTATTATGAAGTATATAACATTGCATTCTCTGACCAATATTAGAGGGCAGTGGTAGAACTCTTGCCTTCTCGCAGAAGACCCCAGTGCGACTCACCTCGCGCACAGCCACCACCATCTGTCAGTGGAGGCTTGCATGTTGCTATGATGCTCAACAGGTTTCACAGGAGCTTTCAGACTAAGATAAACTGGAAGAATGGCCCAGCAATCGACCGCATTTTTACGCAAATAACGTGTGCCTTCTGAGTTTGTTTGCCAGCCACGTCCTCCCACCGTGAGCCACCCTCATAAGCACTGCCGGGAATCCTCTTCCAAATGTTGCTGTAAAAAAAAATTAGCATAGGGTGCTTAAGAAAATACCTTGTGGGGAGGGCAGCCGGCAAACAAACGCAGAAGGTGTGCGTTATTTGCGTAAAAATAAAGTACTTCCTAAAATCAGCCAGTGAAAACCCTGTGGAACACAAAGGCCCAACCTGCAGCCAACTGTGTGGATGGTGCAGGAATGGGCAGCATTTCGTTCTGTTGTGCACGGTCGCCATGAGCTGGCGGCTGCCTCGACAGCAGCTAACAACAACAGACATCGCCGATATTAAGTACGTAATTAATGATGTCGCCTGCGTTTCAGTCTTTAAGAACGTGAACAGGAATTATTTGAATGGCCCAGGCCAATTCCAAAATACTATACATGGATGTTTAAATTGATTCCTCATTTTTCTCTCAATAAACTTTAACACCAAATAGAGGCATTTCTTTTTCTTTTTCAATTGTGCTTTAAGTTTACAGTTCAAATCAGTTTCTCATACAAAAATTTATACACATATTGCTACATGACCCTAGCTACTCTCCCTATAATGTGACAGCACACTCCTCCTTTCCACCCCAGATTTCCCGTGTCCATTCAACCAGCTCCTGGCCCTTTTTGCCTTCTCATCTTGCCCAAACAGAGGCATTTTTATCACCTATTCCATTGACCTTAGAGCTGAACTCTTCAAAAGCAGCCGAGAGTTACCATGTGTTCCTATTAAATCATGCTCCAGGGAGACAAACATGAATTGAGAAAGTGAAAATGGAACATAATAAATTTTACATGATAAATAATGGCAAAATTAAAGGCAGAAAGGTAGAAACGGCCAGGGAGCTCAACAGCTAGAAACACATGGTATTCTGCCAAACCCTCTGTGTAGATCTCCACTGAACAGTTGCACTCGATAATGAAAAACAATTCAAACATCTCTGTATGTAGCACATGCCGTTCTGTTGTTGTTAGGTCCTGTCGAGTTGGTTACAACTCACAGCGACCCTACGTACAACAGAACGAAACACTGCGCCATCCTCACAGTCATAATGCTTGAGCCCACTGTTGCAGCCACTGTGTCAACCCATCTCGTTGAGAGTCTACCTCTTTTTCACTGAAGCCCTACTTTACCAAGCATGATGTCCTTTTCCAGGGACTGATCCCTCCTGATAACATATTCAAAGTACGTGAGACAAAGTCTCACCATCCTTGCTTCTAAGGAGCATTCTGACCGTACTTCTTCCAAGACAGATTTGTCCATTCTTTTGGCAATCCACGGTATATTCCACACTCTTCATCAACACCATAATTCAAAAGCGTCGATTCTTCTTTGGTTTTTCTTATTCACTGCCCAGCTTTTGCATGCATATGAGGAGATTGAAAATATCATGGCTTGGGTCAGGCGCATCTTAGTCCTCAAGGTGACACCTTTGCTTTTTAACACTTTAAAGAGGTCTTTTGCAGCATATTTGCCCAATGCAATACGTCGTTTGATTTCTTGACTGCTGCACGAATCTCAGGGGGAAATCCTATGGAAGTGACTGCCTAACATGGAAGGGCCAACAAAAAGCAGGCTTCCTCCAGAGGTTCATTTAAAGGCCACTAAAATTTTCAGAATCTGGTCCCGTAAATCCACACCCTGTTACATGAACTTCCTTTACTCCTTTCAAGGATAACCAAGGTAAGAGAGTTCTCATTTGATGATAGTTTGCTGTTTAGGCCCTCAGTGAGAAGAGGATCTGAGGACAGGGTTCTGCTCTGCCCCTGCACTCACCTGGTGGACGACATAGATGCCATAATCCATCTGCTGCCTCTGCAGGAAGGGATGGAGATGCTCCAGCAGGTACAGCAGGTGTTTCTCCCTGGTGCGGTGTGGAATAAGGATGGCGACCCGCTGCAAAGCCTTACACTCCTCAGGGTGATACCGGCCCCTGTGCACTCTGGGATTTTCTGCCTGTACTTCTTCCAAAGTGAGATCTGCTCTGAAAACGAGCTTGCTCCGGCCTACTACAATAAACACAGAACACAATAGAAGTATGGTAATAACAGTACCTTTCTCATTGGTGCTGAGAGGCCTGCTGTTGTCAGTTGCTGTAGAGTCAATTCGACCCATGGCAACCCTGTGTGTGCAGAGCAGAACTGCTTCCTAGGGCTTTCAAGACTCTGACCTTTTGAAAGCAGATCACCAGGCCTATCTTCAGAGGCACCTCTGGGTGGGTTAGAACTGCCAACCTTTCAGCTAGCAGTCAAGTGCTTAACCGTTTGTGCCACTCGGGGACTCACTGAAAGGCTTACGTGAATTAATACATGTAAAGGACTTAGAACACTGCCTGGCACATTGTGAGCACTACACGAATGTTGCTGTTGTTGTGTGCCGTCAAGTTGATTCCGACTCATAGTGACCCTATTGGACAGAGGAGAACTACCCATGGGGTTTCCAAGGAGCGGCTGGTGGATTCAACCTGTCGACCTTTTGGTTAGCAGCCTGAGCTCTAAACCACTTTGCCACCAGGGCTCCATATGAGTGTCTGCTCTTATTATTACTTTAAAGTTCCATTTAGTCAGAAACTATAGTAACAGACTCATGTGACCAATTGGCCACAAAAGCAAGTAAGTGCTATGTAACAGCCTTCCCTTGTGGTTGGGCAGCCAACACGATTCATCCACACACAGGAGGTGCAGACTGTCCATGACCCAGCCACACACAGCAACTCTGAGGAGCAGAGAACAGGGCTAGACTAAGTAACTCTTCAAAATTCCTTCTGCTCTACCCTCTCTTCCCTACCAAAATTCCAAGTCTCTTAAAAATGAAGAGTGTGAATGGAACCAAGCTCATGGATAAGGCCCTTTTCCCACTCCTTCCCTCAGTTCTCAGGAGCAATCCCAGCTCCCTGAAGAGAAAGCAGTGGAAGGAGGTAGAAACCACCCTCACTCTATAACCCCGCGGTCACAGGTATGTGCGACACTGGCAACAATTTCCCCATTCTGCCACAGTGGCAGACATTTCCAATCGAGCACAGCTCTTGCTCAGTCAGTCTGGAAGCTGCCAGACTGGATGGAATCCAAAGGCCATCCTGCCCTAATTAATCCTGTGCAAGGCTTTAAAGATCAGGCTGAAGCCACCAACCCTCCTCTTTCGATCTGAATTAACAGGGAATACTGACTAGTAAGAGAAAAGGTGAAGTTCTGGTTTGGGAACTAAGTTACGTGTCTGTTTTTTAACTCCATACATACCGGCCAAGCTGTAAAATCTCAACACTTTTGCAAGTAGCACTATCCTCTTCTGAGCAAAGCAGTCACGGCCCTTCCTCTGTATAAGTCACTGCCTTGCTCCCTGTGGTCTGCTTGCTACCCTGGCCACGACTGCTTAGACCAGGCTCCAGTGTCTGTGAAGTGGCTGAAAGACTGCCTGACAGCACCAAGGGTAAGTGACTGCTTCAAACCACCCAGTCAAAGGGACTGACCAGCCTCTAAGAGCCTCTAAAACCACTTTCCTGAGGGGTCTACGTGGGAGACACCGAGAGTCAGCAGTCACCAATGCCCTAAAAACAGTGAGAAATGGAGTTATGTGAAAGGCAAGCTACTGGAGACGCTGCTGGGAGGTGACGTGTGGCTGCAGAGATGGTTTCCTGAGGAGCCTTTTAATAAGCCCCTTCATCTAAGGGAACCTGACTGTGCTTCTGTTCTTGCCATGTATCTGAGATACACTAGTCCTTTGCTCATCTTTTGATGGTCTTGACTTTTTACGTGCCCTAACCCTCTAGTAAGGAACCCTGGTGGCACAATGGTTCAGCCCTTGGCTGCTAACCAAAAGGTCAGCGGTTCAAACCCACCAGCAGCTCCACAGAGGAAAGGACCTAGCAATCTGCTTCCATAAGATTACAGCCTAGGAAACCCAATGGGGCAGTTCTACTGTCACATGGGGTCAATATGAGTTGGAATCAACTCGATGGCACACAACAACATCCTAGTACCTGCTTCCACTCACTCCCCACTAGTCTCCCCAACATCCCCATCACATCTTCTCTGGTTTTGTTCCTCCTTGGGTCACTACTCGCCCTTCTTAACTTATCACCACTCATGCCACCCCCTTAATCCAGGTACTTTCTCAGTCTTGTGTCACTGCCTACCTACCCGTTATGAATGAATTTATTTCTTAAATACGGTGTGAGGATTTTCATCGAGGGGGATAATACAGTCAGATTTGCATTTTTATCTCTCAACTTGATAATCTGTGAGCAGAACAACTTTCCTCAACAATCAGGAATAAGGTTTTGGCTCTTCCGTGACTGCGATAGCATGCCAATATGGATACATCACAAGACCCGGATTCAATGAGGAAAGAGCACCTGCAGTTCTTGGCTTGGCCAAGACCATCAAGTCTGTGAAGAGCCCGAGGCCAATTAGGAATAACAGGGCTACTTTAGTGTACAAGACAGCCACCCCTGCCAGGCCCTGTGCAGGTGCTGGGCTTCACAGAGCTGGAGAGGATCACCCTGCCCACAACTACTCACTGTCTCCTGGGGAAGAAAGGCAAACATATGAACAATACACTGTGATCAGTGTAACAACGGAAATACAAGGAACACGAGATTAACTCTTGCTGGGGTAGTCCCACGAGCCTTTCTGGAAGATGAAACATCTAAGCTCAATTGTAATGAATAAAACAGGAGCCCACTAGGCAGACATGGATTGAGGAAAGGCATTCTGGAAAGGGAAAACGCAAGGTGCATAGGAGTGTTTGGAGAACTATAAGCACTTCATGTCCTGGAGAATCAGGATGTGTGAGAAATAACTCTGTATGGGGTTGGTTGGTTGGTTGGTTCTCTCTCTCTCTTTAGTTTATACCAGTTGCCATCAAGTCAATTCCAACTCATGGAGACCCCTTGCGTGTCACAGCAGGACTGTGCTCCACAGGGTTTTCAATGGCTGTGACTTTTCGAAAGTAGATCACCAGGCCTTTTTTCTGAAGTGCCTCTGGGTAGGTTCGAACCACCAACCTTTCATTTGGCAGCCAAGAGTTTAACCATTTGTGCCACCCAGGGACTCCTTTAGTTTAATGTTCACTAAAAGCATTAATTTAAATCGAAAGGCAAGATCATCAAAAGAGAATAAAAATATGTAACGTATTTAACAAATAAACACTAACAACATTGAAAACTTAGTTCCCGCCCCTGACTGTATGCTTTGGTCAAGGGAATGCTAACAATGTGACAAAGAGGAGGGTGGAATATGCTGACATTTCTCCTCTTGCTCTCTTCTGCTCCCTTCATCCTAACAGAACATGTCCAAGCTAGCCTACTGATCCCAGGAGGAGCCAGCCTAGGTCAACAGACCCCAGCTCACCCCAAAGTCTTGTGAGCTAAATACATGCTTATTGTTATACACTGCTGAGATTTTTGTGCCTGGATAATAAAATTGGCTATGTTCATATAATGGAATACTATACAGCAATGAGCATGAGGAAACTGTGACTATAAACTGATGATAGGGATAGATCTCATGAACACAGTACTAAGCAACAGAAGCCAAACACAAAAGAGTACACAGCATGTTTCCAATTACGTGAGGTTCAAAAACATGTTTGGTGTTAGAATGTTGAAGTGAGGGTAGTGACTGAAAGAAGCTTCTAGGATTCTAGTATACTCTATTTCTTAATTTACATATGAGATCCACAGGTATGGTCATTTTGTGACACTTAACCAAGCTGTACACTTCTGATTTTCTGTACATACACGTATTTAAATAAAAAGTTTACACATTCCTTGTAAAAAAGAACTTACTGAGGTATGGAGACCTAGGAGGGCAGTTTCTGACTTCTGCTTTTTTCACAGGTGCTTTATTAGTCAGAGTTTCTTCTTTGTCCAAAACTGTGGCTTTGTTGAAGTTAGCCACGAAATCCCTTGCTTTAGGAATCTCTTGAATAGCATCCACAAAGTAGTTACTGGTGGCCCACCCAACCACCGTCAGGCATATGGTAAAAAGGAGCAGTAATCGGACTCTGTAGGAAAGGTGGAAAGTCAGGTTGAAGCCCATGACTTTTATTATGTGAGTTTATATACCTCACCACCTCACTGCAGGCTGGAAGTTTCTTCAAGTTAGACTTCTCCAATCTGATGGCAAAATCAATGACAACTGTAGATGCAATGCCTGTTTCTGCTCAGTAGTCCTGTTCCAACAATCTCTAAAAGACAGCGACAAAAGACATTTTGTTTCAAATGGAAATCCTATCCTGAAATTATTTGCTTCTCAAACTGAAAACCTACCCCTAATAGAGATCAAAAAACCAGAGATTATAGAGGTAGAAGGTTCCAACCATCTACACATCACAGAAGCTCTCCCTGGATTCTCTCTCAGGCTGGCTATCACTCAAGAAGAGAAGGCATTTCCCAATACTGTAAGGGAGGAGAAGGCAAAGGAGACAGGGAGACTGCAAATGCTTCCTCAGTTCTGAGGTGGGTACAGCCTAAAAATTGTTACCGATTCTACTGTGTGCCATCGAGTCAATTCCAATGGATAGCGACCCTATATGACAGAACAGAACTGCCCCATATGGTTTCCAAGGGTGTAATCTTTAACAGGAGCAGATCGGGTCTTTTCTCCTGTGGTGCAAGCAAGTGGGTTCTAACCATGGACCTTTCAATTAGCAGCCCAGCACTTCTACTGGGGCTCCTTTCAGCCTAAAAATAGTCCCTCATGATCCTCTTCCTCAGTTGTCCCTTCCTGACATGGCTTTAAGAGAAGGTTAACAAATGGGAAATCTAGTTACAGGAGTATATTTTGACCCAAAGAGAAAATAAGGAAAAAGACAAAAGCGCTTCTCTGTGAGAGATAGAAAAACAGTGACTGAAAGGCCAAGGATTTTTCAGTTATAAATGTTACATTCCCAGTGAGGCACTGACACAGTGGGGGTGGCAGGGTACCCAAGAGAACCTCAACACAGAAGGTCAGTACTCTGTAAGAATAACCAAACCCGTTGCCATCGAGCCAATTCTGACCATAGCGACCCTACAGGACAGAGTAGAACTGCTCCATAGGGTTTCCAACAATCAGCTGGTGGATTTGAACTGTCGACCTTTTGGTTAGTGGAGCTCTTAACCATTATGCCACTAGGGCTCTGTAAAAATAACAGGGGCTGCTTTATGGAAGGATAGTCCCCTGAAATGAAAGGAAGAATTACCTGGCTGAAGTGACTTATGATCACAAAATCACTGCAGTCTTAGAACCAGGAAAAACTTAAGAGAGCAGGGGGAAAAAAACCAAAAACCCATTGCCGTCGAGTCAATTCCGACTCACAGTGACCCTATAGGACAGAGTAGAACTGCCCCATGGGGTTTTCAAGGAGCAGCTGGTGGATTCAAACTGCTGACCTTTTGGTTAGCAGTGGAGCTCTTAACCACTGTGCCACCAGGGCTCTGTAAAAATAACAGGAAGGATAGTCCCCTGAAACAAAAGGAAGAATTACCTGGCTGAAATGACTTATGATCACAAAATCACTGCAGTCTTAGAATCAGAAAAAACCTTAGAGAGCAGGGGGGAAAGAAACAAACCCGTTGCCGTTGAGTTGATTACAACTCCTAGCGGCCCTATAGGACAGAGTAGAACTGCTCCATAGGATTTCCAAGGAGGAGCTGGTGGATTTGAACTGCCAGCCTTTTGGTTAGCAGCTAAGCCTTAACCACTGTGTCACCAGGGCTCCTCAGAGAGCAGAAATCTGGGAAAAATCATAAACTAATACGACTGAACTGCAGCCCACGGAATATGTCCCAAGGTAAGACATTCATTCTAAAAGCAAGGAGCCATTATTAACAATTACAGAAAAATTAGCCCTTCATTACTAACTTCTCTTGTTGAGATTATGTGAAATCCAATTAAAAAATTATCACTTCCTCCTTTTCCCATGCCTTTGTGCCCTCCCCAAAGCTGGCTATCCAGGGAGCCAGCATGAAGGAAGCTCAAGTGTGAGGTCTCATTGGCTCCTGTGAGTAAACAGCCAAGGTATGGAGGGTTTATAACACTATTCATCTGTCTTTCAAGAGAGCTCTCCTGCTTGAGTATTAGTTTCGTGGCTGAAGGCAAGCCCTCTCAGTGTGCTTCCCCAGCTATAAAATGGTAAAAAAAAAAAAAAAAAAATACTTCTCTGACAAGGTTGCTGTAAGAATTTAATGAGGTGGGACCTGAATAAGCAAAGTTTTATTAATAAAGAAGAACAAAGTAGAAGGCCTCACACTACCTGATCTCAGAACCTACTATACAGCCATGGTAGTCAAAACAGGCTGGTACAGGTACAACAGACACATAGACCAATGGAACAGAATTGAGAACCCAGATTAAACCCATCCACTATGATCAGCTGATCTTCAACAAAGGATCAAAGTATATTGAATGGGGAAGAGACAGTCTCTTCAACAAATGATGCTGGCAAAATTGGTTAACTATCTGTAGAAAAATGAAATAGGATCCATCCCTTCACCATATGCAAAAACAAACTCAGAATGGATAAAAGGCCTAAATACAAAACCTAAAACTATAAAGATCATGGAGGAAAAATATAGGAACAGTGCTAGGGGCCCTAATATATGGCATAAATAGAATACCAAATATAACTAAAAATGCACACACAGAAGATGATGAGCAAGAAAAATGGAACCTCCTAAAAAGTAAACACTTGTGCTCAATGAAAGACTTGACCAAACGAGTAAAAAGAGAACCTAAATCAAAAAACCAAACCAGTTGCTGTTGAGTCGCTTCTGACTCATAGCGAACCTACAAGACAGACTAGAACTGCCCCACAAGGTTTCCAAGGAGAGGCTAGTGAATTCAAACTGCCAACCTTTTGGTTAGCAGCCCAGTTCCTAACCACTGTGCAACTGGGTACAGAGTGGGAAAAAAAAAAAAAAAAATTTGGCTATGACATACCTGACAGGCCAAAATTTATAGAAAACTTCAAAACTTCAACAACAACAACAAAAATAATAATCCAATGAAAAACTGGGCAAAGGATATGAACAGACACTTCACCAAAGACATTCAGGCTACTAACAAACATGAAGAAATTAGAGAGATGCGATCATTATCAATTAGTGATGCAAATGAAAACTACAATGAGATACCATGTCACCCCGACATTACTAGCACTAATTAAAAAAAGAGAAAATAACAAAATGTTGGCAAGGTTGTGGGGTGATTAGAACTCTTACATACTGCTGGTGGGAATGTAAAATGGTACAATCACTATGGAAAATGGTATGGAGCTGCCTCAAGAAGCTAGAAATAGAAATACCGTATGATCCAGCAATCCCACTCCTACATACATACCCTAGAGAAATAAGAGCTGTGAAACAAACAGACATATGCACATCCATGTTCATTGCAGCATTACTCACAACAGGAAAAAGGTGAAAGCAATCTAAGTGTCCATCACAGATGAATGGATTAACAAACTGGGGTACATACACACAGTGGAATACTACACCTAACGGTAAAGAGTCATGGTGTTTAATGAGAAACTAATTTGCCCTGTAAACTTTCACCTAAAGCACAAAAAAAAAGAAGAAGAATGATGAATCCATGAAACATCTCACAACATGGATGGATTTGGAGGACGTTGTTGTTGTTAGATGCTGTCGAGTCAGTTCTGACTCAAAGCCAGCCTATGTACAACAGAACAAAATACGGTCCGGTCTTGCATCACCACTGTTGTGCTTGAGGCTATATTTGCAGTCACTGTGTCTATCCATCTCATTGAGAGTATTCCTCTTTTTCACTGACCCTCTACTTTACTAAGCATGATGTCCTTCTCCAGGGACTGATCCCTCCTGATAACATGTCCAAAGTATGTGAGACAAAGTCTCACCATCCTCATTTCTAAGGAGCATTCCGGCTGTACTTCTTCCAAGACAGACTGGTTCATTCTTCTGGCAGTCCACGGTATATTCAATATTCCTCGTAACACCATAATTCAAAGGTGTCAGTTCGTCCTCTGTCTTCTTTATTCACTGTCCAGCTTTCACAGGCATATGAGGCAAGAGAAAACACCATGGCTTGTGTCAGGCGCACCTTAGTCCTTAAAGGGACATCTTCGCCTTTTAACACTTTAAAGAGGTCTTTTGCAGCAGATTTGCCCAATGCAATGTCATTTGATTTCTTGACTGCTATTGCTTCCATTGGCATTGATTATGGATCCCACTAAAATGAAATCCTTGACAAATTCAATCTTTTCTCAGTTTATCATGATGCTGCTTATTGGTCCAGTTGTGAGGATTTTTGTTTTATGTTGAGGTGTAATCCATACTGAAGGCTGTAGTGTTTGATCTTCAACAGTACATGAAGTCTTCAAGTCTTCTTCACTTTCAGCAAGCAAGGCTGTGTCATCTGCATAATGCAGGTTGTTAATGAGTCTTCCTCCAATCCTGATGCCGCATTCTTCCTCAGATAGCCCAGCTTCTCTGATTATTTGCCCAGCATACAGATTGGATAAGTACGGTGAAAGGATACAACCCTGACGTACACCTTTCCTAACTTTAAACTACGTAGTAACTGCTTGTTCTGTTCAAACGACTGCCTTTTGATCTAGGTACAGGTTCCTCATGAGCACAATTAAGTGTTCTGGAATTCCCATTCTTCCCAATGTTGTCCATAATTTGTTACGATCCACACAGTCAAATGTCTTTGCATAGTAAATAAAACACAAGTAAACATCTTTCTGGTATTCTCTGCTTTCAGCCAGGGTCCATCTGACATCAGCAATGATATCTCTCATTCCACGGCCTCTTCTGAATCCAGCTTGAATCTCTGGCAGTTCTCTGTTGATGCACTGCTGCAACTGCTTTTGAATTATCTTCAGTAAAATTTTACTTGCATGTGATATTAATGATATTGTTCAGTAATTTCCGCATTCGGTTGGATCACCTTTCTTTGGCATATGCATAAATATGGATCTCTTCCAGTTGGTTTGCCAGGCAGCTGTCTTCCAAACTTCTTGGCATAGATGAGTGAGCACTTCCACACTGCATCCGTTTGCTGAAACATCTCAACTGGTATTCCATCAGTTCCTGGAGCCTTGTTTTTCGCCAATGTCTTCAGTACAGCTTAGACCTCTTCCTTCGGTACCATCAATTCTTGATCATATGCTACCTCCTGAAATGACTGAATATCTTTTTGGTACAGTGATTCTACGTATTCCTTCCATCTTCTTTTGATGCTTCCTGTGTCGTTCAGTGTTTTGCCAATAGAAACCTTCACTATTGCAACTCGAGGCTTGAATTTTTTCTTCAGTTCTTTCAGCTTGAGCATGTTCTTCCCTTTTACTTCATCATTTCTTCTGTTCACTTCAGCTACTTGACGTTCAAAGCAAGTGTCCGGGTCTCTTCTGACATCCATTTTGGTCTTTTCTTTCTTTCCTGTCTTTTTAATGACTTCTTCTTGCTTTCTTCATGTATGATGTCCTTGATGTCATTCCACAACTCATCTGGTCTTCAGTTATTAGTGTTCAATGCCTCAAATCTATTCTTGAGACGGTCTCTAAATTGAGGTGGTATATACTCAAGATCGTACTTTGGCTTTCGTGGACTTGTTCTCATTTTCTTTGGCTTCAACTTGAACTTGCCTATGAGCAATTGATGGTCTGTTCCACAGTCAGCCCCTAGCCTTGTTCTAAATGATGATACTGAGCTTTTCCATCGTCTCTTTCCACAGACGTAGTCAATTTGATTCCTGTGTATTCTATCCAGTGAGGTCCACGTGTATAATTGATTATTTATGTTGTTGAAAAATGGTATTTACAATGAATAAGTCATTGGTCTTGCTAAATTCTATCATGTGAACTCCGGCATGGTTTACATCACCAAGGCCATATTTTCCAACTAACAATCACTCTTCTTTGTCTCCAATTTTCACATTCCAATCACCAGTAATTATCAATGCATCCTGATTGCATGTTCGATCGATTTCAGACTGAAGAAGTTGGTAAAAATCTTCAGTTTCTTCATCTTTGGCCTTAGTGGTTGGTGGGTAAATCTGAATAATAGTCGTATTAACTGGTCTTCCTTGTAGACATATGGATGTTACTCTATCACTGACAGCGCTGTACTTCAGGATAGATCTTGAAATGTTCTTGTTGATGATGAATGCAACGTCATTCCTCTTCAATTTGTCATTTCTGGCATAGCAGACCATATGATTGTCTAATTCAATATGGCCCAATACCAGTCCATGTTAGCTCACTAATGCCTAGGATATCGACGTTTATGCATTCCATTTCATTTTTTTACCATTTCCAATTTTTCTAGATTCATACTTTGTACATTCCACATTCTGATTAATGTTTGCAGCTGTTTCTTCTCATTTTGAGTTGTGCCACATCAGCAAATGAAGGTCTGGAAAGCTTGACTCCATCCACATCATTAAGGTCGACTCTACTTTGAGGAGGCAGCTCTTTTCCAGTCATCTTTCGAGTGCCTTCCAACCTAAGGGGCTCACCTTCCGGCACTGTATCAGACAATGTTCCATTGCTATTCATAATGTTTTCACTGGCTAATTTTTTTCAGAAGTAGACCACCAGGTCCTTCCTCCTAGTCTGTCTTAGTCTGGAAGCTCAGCTGAAACCTCTCCACCATGGGTGACCCTGCTGGTATCTGAATACCAGTGGCATAGCTTCCAGCATCCCAGCAACACGCAAGCCCCCAAAGTACGACAAACTGACAGATGTGTGGGGTTGCATGTCATTATGCTGAGCAAAATAAGTCAACTGTAAAGGATAAATATTGTATAAGTCAATTGCAGAAGGACAAATATTTGTATGAGCCCAAATATTATGAAGTAACAACAAAAGGTTTCCACACAGGAAAAAAAGAATTCTTTGATGGTTACCAGCGATGGGAGGAGGAAGGGACAATCACCAAATAATAGTACCAAAAACCAAACCCACTGTCATCGAGTTGATTCCAACTCATACGACCCTATAGGACGGAGCAGAACTGCCCCATATGATTTCCAAGGAGCGGCTGGTGGATTCGAAATGCTGACCTTTTGGTTAGTAGACAGACGTTAATGTTGGTGAAGGGAAAGGCAATACACAATATGGAAGAAGTCAGCACAACATGACTAAGGCAAAAAAGGACACTGAGAAGAATGCAGGAATAAAGGACAACTACACTAACTACCATAGCATAGACAATCTGGCAACAATAGTATTAACAAACAATAATTTACAAATGGATAGATAGATAGATATGCCAAGAGGTGAGGGAGGGTGTAAAGGAGCACACCTACTGGCAGATACAGGTTGGTGGTGGAAACTTCTAAATACATGACTGTAGGTGTTCCTCATATATTAATATAGACAATAGGGTACACAAGCAGCACTGTCAGGGAAACCTCTCAGACATAACTAAGCACCTTGCGGGATGAAGTCCACAGGCTCAAAAGCAAAGGACCATAGACTCAGGAGTCATCTATGTCAATAGGCACAACACAGTTTTTACAGACAATATTCTGTACATCCTACTTTGGTGAGTAGCGTCTGGAGCCTTAAAAGCTTGCAAGCGGCCATCTAATTACTGGTGTCTTCCAGTTCAGAGCAAAGAAGAGCAAAAAAAAAACAAAGACTCAATGGAGTAATTAGTCCAAAGTACTAATGGACCACATGAACCACAGCCTCCACGACCCCAAGACCAGAAGAACTAGATGGTGCTGGCAACCATTACCAATTGCTCTGACTGGGATTACAACCAAGGGTCCCAGACAGAGCAGGAGAAAAATGTAGAACAAAACATCAAATTCACAAAAAAAGGCTAGACTTACTAGTATGACAGAAAATGGAAGAACTCCAGAGGCTATGGCCCTAAGACACCCTTCAGACCTGGAACTGAAGCCATTTCGGAGATCACCTTCCAGTCAAACAATAGACAAGCCCGTAAGATAATACCTGAGAGGAATGTGCTCCTTAGAACAACCAATTACAAGAGATCAAAAGGGCAATACTTGCCCAAAAGCAAAGATGAGAAGGCAGGAAGGGTAGATAATCAGGACAAAAGCAAACAGGGAATCCAGGGCGGAAATGGGGAGAGTGCTGACACTTCATAGGGAATGAAGCCAAGGCCATGGAACACTTTATGTACAAACTATCGAATGGGAATCTAATTTGCTCTGTAAACTTCCACCTGATGTACAATTTAAAAAAAGAAGATACAATTAGTCACATAGGCTGGGGATATAAAACAGCTGGAGAGGAAGTTTTCTTTGTCTCCTCGGCTACCGTACAAGTGGGGCATGCGTAAAATAGGCTTACAGTCCACCTCACTGGGCCCACCTAGACAAAGGGAGTCAGGCAGAAGGTAGCCCTCCTTTTTAAGTCCCTCACCCACAGCATAAAGTGGAGTGTGCACTGAAGAGTCTCACCTTTGCCCACACAGCCTTCTCAAGCTGCGGGAGGGGGAACACTCAAAAACGGATCCACATTTGTTCTGGTGTGCTGTCTGCTTCTTCTAAGTAATAAAAGTTCTCTTCCATGTGGGAAAAAAAAAAAAAAAAGAATGTTAATGAGGTGATAGACTCCGACACACTGGTACATTTCCAGTAATGTACTGACTCTAGCTGCCAGTGTGATTGTGTTCAAATGTTTACCGGAATGTTAACTAAGATAACGTTATCTCTGGAATTATGTATTGAAGTACAGGTGACATTTATCTATTTCTCTGTATTTCCTGTTTTCATTTCCGTGAATAGATATCACTTTTATATTCAGAAAAATAAAAAATTTTTTAAACAAAATTCTTTTTAGGGTGGTGACTCCTAGCTGGTGTTTGGAAGAATGCCACTGGATTGAGCTTACTTATGAAAACGTTTAAAGAATTAAGAGACCCTGAACTCTCCCGACGGCCCCAGTTATCTTCTTTTTCAGTCAAGGCTATCTGGATGTGACAGCAAACAGTGAATATAGATAACAAATTGAGGCAATGTGAAAAAAGTTATTTTAGGGCAAGATTCTATAAGTGTGGTTCCAAAAGTGCCTATATCAAATACACAGGGGAGTTTGTTGAAGTTGCAGATTCCTGGGCCTCACTCCAGAGCTCATGGGTCAGAAGAGCTGGGCCTGGGACACAGGAAAGTGAATTTTTAACAAGCTCCCCAGGTGATTCTTATACACATTAAAGTTTGAGAACCACTGAAATAAGAGAATGGGCCTGGAATGCAAAAGACTCTTCAGAAATGTTAATTTTCCTTCCAGTGAGGAAAGTCAGCAAGAAGATATGTTAAAATGGGATTTTTAAAATGCAGCTGACTCCATCATTTAGCAATTTATTCTAAGGAAATAATCAGAGAGCTAGACCATAACATTCCCCTCAACATTACTAAAATAACCAAGAATTAGAGAATCCAGATGTTTACAGGGAACTGGTTTAGTTACATCCATATGATGGAACATATGCTTTCATTGAAAACGGTGTTAAAAATTTTTAACTACACAGGAAAATGCTCATGATGGCTAAGCGAAAACACCAGAATATCAAAATGGACACAGAATTACGCTATACGTGTATGTGTGTGTGTTTTATATGTAAAACGCCAGATCACTGGGGCTATCTTTTGATCGCAAGATCAGCCACACTTTTGTTTCTTCTGTATCTTCTCATTTTTCTAAAATGAAGTTTTTATGATCATAAACAATATTGTCTTCTTCCTGATAAAATGACTACAAAGTTTTCCTTTAAAATGTATTAAAATTTAAAGATGACATAATGGGTGGGGATTACACCTTTTAGCTACACAGGACTGGTGATGATTCATTACAACCTTTAAGGAAAACTGTTTTAAATAGACCCCAGTAAACCAAAATTGCAAAGAAAACCCTCAGAGACTTAGTAGTAATTTTTAATGCCAGAGAAGCCTGTGGCCTCTGTTTAAAATTCCTATCCCTAGGCTCTGACCCCAGAGATTCTGGTTTTCAAGGTCTGAGATGGGGCCAGGGAACCAATATTTTAAACAGAAACTCAGGTAATACTGAGACATGCTGCCAGGTTTGAGAACCACTGATGGTTTAAAAAAAGAAGAGACCAACACTACTGACTTGCTCTGGATCTTCCACCCAGAATAAAAGAGCTTCAAAGTCACAGTTAGTTCACAGATCATTTGCATGCTTGAAAAAGCACACTTATTATTTGCTCAGCTTAAAGTAGATACTAAATACTTGTTATACCAAGTGGCATAAAAAATATAACCACAAAGCTAGTTTAAATCCCCCCGCCGGGAAGATTATGTAATCAAACAGTTCAGTACAATTAGTACTGTGAGCTTTAACAGGTGTTTTAATCTGTTCAAAGCTATGGACCTTCTCTCTCAAAAATGCACAGGTAGGTACACAAAAATGTTTTGCAAATTCATGGGGTTTATGAAACCCGTTGCCATCGACTCGATTCCAACTCATAGCAACCCTACAAGACAGAGTAGAACTGCCCAGTAGGGTTTCCAAGGAGTGGCTGGTGGATTCAAACTGCTGACCTTTTGGTTAGCAGCCAAGCTCTTAGCCACTGCACTACCAGGGCTCCATGGCGTTTACAGTCCCCATAAAGTCAACCCTTCCCTAAAAGATCAAATTCCAGGAGATAAACTATCATGGAATCAAGCATCATCTCCTCCCCCTATAGAGACATTCCAGTACTCCCCAAGCAGGCGCCTAGACTAGCCCTCCACACCCCCTTTTTAAACTCAATTTCTCAACCTAGACCCTGACTCCCAGCCCATCCCAATCTAGGTTTCCCTGACTTTCTTGCATCTTCAAAATCTTCTTCTCCTTTCTTAAAAAAGAAAAAACTTTCTTCAACCCTCAAATTACCATCTTTTTCCTCCTCCTGTTCACCACCAAACCTCCGGAGAGGTCTACCTGTGCCCTTCCCGCCTCCACTCTAGAGGGCTCTGCAACTCGACGGCCCTCCCACCCTCAGGTGATAACTGCTGTCCTAAGGCTACCAATTCCAAGGCCTTTGTCTCAGTCCCAATCCTCCTGGGCTTTTCTAATTTTTTCAAACCAAGAGTTAACAGCCCTTATCTAATGGAAGACAGAACATCACCAAATACCGATCAACAGACACTGGATCAAGGAGAGCCCGGCCAAGGGCAGATGTCCCTGAAGTACTTTCAAAATCCAGGTGTCTAACCCTGGGGGGTGGGGGTGGGGAGAAGAGGAGAGAACCCTGTGGCGCAGTGGTGAAAGCCCTCGGCTGCTAAGCGAAAGGTCGACGGTTTGGAAACCAGTCCGCAGTCAGCGCGCATAAAGATTCTAGCCTTGGAAACACTACCGGGCAGTTCTGCTCTGTCCTATAGGATCGCTCGGGTTTGGTTTTGCTTAGCCCCTGGAGGCAAGCTCAGAATTCGGCCCCCCGCAGCCCTCCAAGCTCGGATCAGCTCGTTTCCTGGCTGCAACGCTGGGGAAAGCAGGGTCGTTGGCGGAAGGGGCTTCTTCATGTTGCTGCGCCCGGCTGGGGCACCCCAGAATCGTAACAAGGGGCCTCTAGATCTTTCCCTACATGACAGCATCTCGCCGGCCCGCGGTGGGACGCCCGCACATGAGCTGATGCCTCCCTCCAGGCTCGGCCTCCGCAGGCCCCCTGCCCGGCCCCTCCGCTCCGGCTGAGGCAAGACCGCCGCCCGCCGCGCATCTGGCCGCGCCGGCCCCAGGCCCGCCCAGCCCCACTGCCGGGGATCAGCCCCCACGCGCCACACGGCGAAACCTACACGGCGGGCGCCATCCTCCGCCTCGAGTTACGCGCCCAGGAGCCAGCGGAGCGCAGCCCCGCGTACTTACCCCGGCCGCGGCCGCCGCCAGCCCGGCCAGAGAAAAGACAGACAGTGAGAAGCAGCCGCCGCGACCGCCCCGCCGCCCGGGAGGCGGCGCCGGAGTGTGGGCCCCGCCTCCCATCCTCCCAGAACTCCGCCGCTGCCGGGCCTTAGGGGCGGGTCTGCCTGGCTTTCCGCCTGGGGCGGGCCACGGGCCTGACGCTCCACTGCCGGCCAGACGGCCTTCCCAGAGATGGAAGGAGCAGTGGGAGGAAAAACGGGGGTGTGCAGCTCGGCCTCTGGGTAATCTTAAAGGCTTGTGCCAATACTACACTACTCTAGTGCTGGGCGCTCCCTAAGTTCTATACCCGTGAATGCTCGCGAAGAATTGGGAAGGGAATATGAACCTTCCCATTTTATGGAGTAAGAAACGGACTTTAGAGGTTAATAAACTTGTCTTACATCACCCAGACAGGTTTCAGCTTTCTCAACCGCATAATGTACCAAATTACCTGGTTTTCGCCGTTTCGGACTACGTTGCTGTCGTTGTTAGATGCAGTCGACTCGGTTCCGACTCACAGTGACCCTATGTACAATAGAACAAAACACTGCGCTGTCCTGGGCCATCCTCACAATCATTGTTAATGCTTGAGCATTAATTAATTAATTAATTAATGCAGCCACTGTGTCAATCCATCTCATCGAGGGTCTTCCTCTTTTTCTCTGACCCTCTACTTTACCAAGCATGATGTCCTTCTCCAGGGACTGGTCCCTCCTAATACCATGTCCAAAGTGCATGAGACGAAGTCTCACCATCCTCACTTCTAAGAAAATATTAAATGAATAAATTGTGAAAAATCTTCATTTCTTGAAAGATATCATTACAGAAAGCAGAGACAGAATCATATTCTGTCTTGAATGAAAACTCATTGTGGGTTCTGCTTGGGCAGGCTGCATAGCAGGCTAGATTCTCCAGGGCACTGTCCCATTGCACTCACAGCAAAGGAAATTCCCCAAGAACCACCCCATTCACCCCCTGCTGAAAACGAACAAACAATGGGCAGAACCAGTGAACTCTAAGCAGATCTGGGGCTATGCTGAGGGCACAAGGAAGGTTCATGGCGGCACTGTGATCCAGGGGCAGAAGCAAGAAAGTCTGAACCTGAGCCATGGTCCCAAGTCTGCTGTGCTCTGGGCAGAAGCAATGAAAAATCCCTCTGGGGAAGGCATCCTCAACTGAGTCCTGTAAGATTCAAACAAATATAAGTTCAGTTTTTAAAAAAAAAAAAAAAATCACAAAACACAGGAGGCCACGCAACAGTGACCACAGAATTCAGAGCCCTTCTCCAAGGACATCAATATTGGAATTATCTGATACAGAATACAGAGGAGCTGGCTATGAAATTTTTTAAGATTAAAAAAAAAAAAGATGTCTCCAAAGATTTTTTACTAATTACAAAGGGCAAAGTGTACCTTTTCGCAGAGAGATCTGGCAGATACTACCTCAGCTGAGTACTCAGTTAATTTCACCCATAATACAAATGGACGTTACGCGTGATGTGAAACTCTAAGAACGTAACGTCACCTTCATCGTATTCCCACTAAAATTTCCTAATTAGAATGTAAACGTGAGGAAGCAGACAAGGTCAAATGAAGGGACGTTCCACAGAACGACTGGCCTGTACACTTGAAAAACGTCAGCGTCAAGAAAGACCAGCGAAGATGAGCGATTGTTTCAGATTCAAGGAGATTTGACGTCTAAATTCAAGGTGTGGTCCTGGGCTGGAGACAAAGTTACTTTGGAGTATATTATTGAGACAACAGGGAAAATTCGGGTATGTGTAATGTGGTAGATTAAAAATAACCTCAAACTCTTTGACATTCCTCTCACTGAGAAGTGAGAGTGTATTGCTCCTCCCTTTAAATCTGAGTTGGCCCCCGACTGCTTTGACAAATACTGTAGAGTGGTCGTGAATCTATACCAGTTCCAAGCCTAGCCTTTAAGTAGTTTCCACCTCCATCTCTAGAATCACTCAGATTTCGAACCCTGAGATTGCCATGCTGTGAGAAAGCCCGAGCTAGCATTGTGGAAGCCATGTGGACAAGAGAAAGAGATGCTGTCTTAGTTATCTAGTGCTGCTATAACAGAAATACCACAAGTGGGCAGCTTTAATAAACAGAAATTTATTTTCTCACTGTTTAGGGGACTGGAAATCTGAATTCAGGGGAAAGGTTTTCTCTGGTTGTTGGCTCTGAGGGTAGGTCCTTTTGTCCTTTCAGTTTCTGTTTCTCAGGTGACGTGATGCTTATCTTCCCCCAACTCTGCTTGCTTGCTCGCTAGCTTAATCTGCTCTTTTATATCTCAAAAGAGATTGATTGAAGACATAAACTACACTAATACTGCCTTATTAACTTAACAAAGAAAACTCATTCTCAAATGGGATTATAACCACAGGTATAGGAGTTAGGATTTACAACACATATTTTGGGGGGACACAATTCAATCCATAAAGATGCCCAGCCACCTCCCAACATTCCAGCCACCAACCATTCGGAGCCACCCCAGCTAAATCTCCAGGCAGCACGGAGCAGAGGTGAGTCTTTCCCATAGTGTCGTATCTGAATCTCTGACCCACAGAATCATGAGATATAATAGTAATAATAAAATGTTCTTTTAAATCCTAAATTTTGGCATAGTTTGTTGCACAGCAATAGATAATCAAAACAGACCATATATTAGATAATAATATTTTATAAACGTTAAATTTCCCGAATTTGATACTTGCATTAGGTCATACAGGAAAATGACCTTGTTCTTAAGTATCTAATGATGAAATATCATGATCTCTGCAATTTACTCTCAAATGGTTCAGGCAAAACACACATACAGAGAGAGAGGGAAAGAGAGAGAGACCGCTACTCATGTTGCTGTGATGCTAGAAGCTATGCCATCAGTATTTCCACTGATGGTGGGCAGGTTTCAGTGGAACTTCCAGACTAAGACAGACTAGGAAGAAAGGCCTGGCAATCTACTTCTGAAAATTAGCCAAGGAAAACCTATGAATCCCAATAGAACATTGTCCAACTCACTTGCTTTGGACACAGCATCAGGAAAAATCCACCTCTGAAGGAGATATTGTGTTTAGTGCCATGGAGGGCTGGTGAGGGAGGCCTTCAGTGAGATGGATTGACACAATAGCTACAATGATGGACTTGAACATGCTGGCAATTGTAAGGATGATGCAGGACCAGGCAACATTCATTCTGTTGTATGTAAGGTCTCCATGATTTGGAGTTGACTCAACAGCAGCTCTCTCTCTCTCTCAGTATAGATAGATATAGCTATACCTATAGATATAAATGCAGATAAAGAGGACACGATGGCAAATGTGGCAAAATATTAACTATTGGTGAATCTAGATAAAGTGTATTTAGATATTCATTGACTAATTATTGCAATTTTTTTAAGGCTTGAAATTTTTCCAAAATAAAGGTTTAAATAAAAAAGAGAGAAAAGATTAAGTCTCAAAGATGAAAAAGCAATGGCTAGACTTCCCCTTCCAATCACGATGAAGTAACAGGGGCCATATTTACCATCCCATCTGAAACATCCAAAACAAAACAAAAAACAGACAAAATATATGAAACAACAGTTCTTAAGAAACTCAACAAAAGGCAATGAAAAACTGTGATCTCTGAGAGATGGGAAACAAACAAGATGAGCCCTACAATTGCCCCAGCTTATTACCTTAGAAGAGTTTCCACAGCATGACAGAGAAAGGGAGAATTAAGGCAGAGTCTGGCAGACTTCCTGAGTTGAGACAGCCCCTAGAGTTCAGGGGAAACAAGATAGCTATAGTTCACAAGACAAAATAACAGAAAGAAGAGAGATGCACAGAGAAAGAATCCTGGTGACCTGCAGATGGTCCTTCTCAAGTATTCAGCAGAGTACTGATCAATTGATGAATGTAAGGAAATTATCCTTGGTCAGGGAAAGAATCATCTATAAGGATTAGAGGGAACAGTTCCTGTCACTCACAGCAGGCAGGAAATAGCTCCTGCTTCCATCAGTCAGACCGGAAAAACTCATAATTCACAAGGCATTGGGTAGAGTATTCAGGAAGGTCTTTCCGAGTAGTAAAGAAGAATTAGCCCTAGACGGAGCACTGCTTTGGACCTGCCTAACATACTATAAAAGCAAGACCTGAAGAAACACAATTTGTTGTACCCAAATAATTTGAGTGTCTTCTGGAGCAAAGCTAAAGAAGACTTACAGGCATACAAAAATATCCAGCACCCAACAAGGTAGAATTCACAATGCCTGGCATCCAAAGATTATCAGGAATACAAAGAAGCAAGAAAACACAACCCACACTGAGGAGACTAATCACTCAAAAGCAACCTATAACTGACACAGATGTTAGAATTAACAGAGAAGGACATTAAAATAGTTATTATAACAATATTTCCTATATTCAAAAAGTTGGAGATATGGAAGATATAAACAAAGACCCAAACTGAACTTGTAGAGAAGAAAAGTAGAATGCATGACAACGACAGCATATAGGCCTAAAGGGGAGAAATGGAAGTATACTATTGTAAGCTTCTTATACCATACTTGATATAATACCACTTTAAGGTAGACTGTGTTAAATATGTATACTATAAATCCTTAAGCAACTACTAAAATAACAAAATAAAGAATTCAGTTAATAAGGCACAAAGGAGATAAAATGGAATCATTTAAAACACTAAATTATCAGAGAGATGCAGATCAAAACCACAATGAGATACCATTTCACTCCCACTAGGATGGTTAAAATAAAATAAAAATATTGGCAAGGATGTGGGGAAATTCGTACCCTTACCCACTGCTAGTGGGAATGCAAAACGGTACAACCGTTGTGGAAAATAATGTGGCAGTTCCTCAAAAACAATTAAAAATAGAACTATCAAATGGCGCAGCAATTTTACTCCTAGGTATATCCCCAAAAGACTTGAAGCAGAGATTCAAACAGATACCACCAATATTTATTGCAGCACTGTTCATAATAGCGAAAAGGTGGAAACAACCTAAATTCCCATCAGCAGATGAA